GCTCCGCCTCGCTACTAGCTTTCCGGTGCCTTGCAGGAAATGCCGAACCCCACCCTTCCATGGATCCCGTCGTGATCTACAACAAACATTGAAACATAATACGCACCCCTTACTGCGCCGCGTCTGTTTCCCGGATAAACTACTTGGAGCTGATTGAATTGTGCTATCCGTCCTTTGAGGTCCCCTCCGAACGCCAAGAGAGCCTAGCCACGAAAACCCGTTCGATGGTACCGAACTAGTATTATATGGCCTGTATCTCTCTCCCAACATCCGGCTGGAACAAACCCCCCAGAACTTCCTGCGAAGTTGACCCCTCCATCACCTCATCCGATCGATTTCATCCACCTCTCGCCTCCTACCTCCGCACCACCTGAAGTACATTCTAAGCCCTGGCCCCCAAACCTTTGACGGAGAGGGGGGTCGATAGTCCACTTCTTAAGCAATAGTCCGGTGGGGGAGAAACGGCTAACCCGCACCTTATATTGACATAGGCTAGCATATGGAGTAACCCTCGTTGAACCAAGGCCCCCCGACCCGCTTTGGCTGATCGGGGGGTTCCGGGAGCAAATTCTGGTGGGCGAGTACAGTGGATCCTAGATCGATCGAACAAGGTAACTTCGAAAACAAACTCCCGAATCTTTCCCAAACAGCTCTTCCATAGTTTTTCCAGTCCGCAGCAACGACTCAGGTTTGGATGGGCGAAATCACGACGGCAGCCACAAAAAAATGGATCTCCGACATCACACAACCCGACACACCTAAGTTTCGCGAGGCTCGGCCCCTCTTCCCCTTCGGATGTCCCCCTTCGGTACACCACCACATCATGCCATCCAGTCTGGAGCGTCGCCGACTCCCGTTGGCCAAGGTAGGGCCAACACAAGAGTAGCGGACGAACCAGTCATCTGGTCTTACCGGAGAAAGGGAGAGGTAGACTGCCACCACCAAACCCCACCCAAGCACACACCAGGCAGCAAAAAGCCATCATCCTAAAAGATGGTCCCACTTCACAAGACGAGGAGGTTCCCCGTCCTTCATTCCAACCCCAGGTGAGAACACACACACCCTTCTTTGCGATGGATAAAAGGCAAAAAGAGAGGGCAAAAAAGCCAACGGCAAATTCCAACCAGACCCCCAGAGGCACACACCACAAAAAGTGAAGCCAGAGAGAGCCAGACAAAGAGAAGGATAGAGAGAGAGGGAGAGTTAGACCCCCCCGGAAGAGAATCATAGGTGCTGCGGCCTTTTTCGGGAATGTGACCAGGAAAGAGAGAAACCGACGAGGCCGATACACACATTAAAAAATGAAAAAGTAACCATCACCGCGAAGGATTTTCCTCAAAAGACAAATCAGCAAGAAGTATGTCCAATCCCGGGGGCCCATCGCCCCTCCAAATTAATGGAGGGGTCGGATAGAAATTTATAGAAATGTTACTTTTGTGAAACCCCTAGCCGACGAGAGAACTCTCACCGGTTTCGAAGTTCCATTTTCACATTCCGACCTGGGATGTTATGACTCCTCGGCCCACACTGCGAACGCGTCCCACACCCCCTCCAAGTTTATCAGGAATTTCACCTGAGCTTGCAATAGAGATCGAGCGCGGTGGCGGTCACAGTGGTGGTCGACCAGGCGGAGCTTGAACGGCCTCGGCAAACACTTCTCCCCACCCTCCCAAATGAATGAGAGAATGGCTTGACAATACCGAGGCCATCGCCCCCCGCCAAAAATGGTTACTAGCTCTTGGGACTCGCTGCGACGTTACGCGTATCGGCACAAGACCAACCCTCTTTTTCCAGTCGCCCGCGCACCAAAAAAAATTTTGGCAGCGGGACTCACAATCCTTGACAGCCAGCTCACCATATAATACTCGGCGACCCTCCGCGGGACCTCCTCAGAGGGTCGCGTCGCCGGGAAACTAACCCCCACTCCTCACTGATCCAAGGTAACACGCCAGAAGTATCCAGGTAACCCCAGTAGTATCCAGGTATCCCCCCTGCGAACGTCGGTACTGGGCTCAAAGAAGGCAGCGAGCAGTCGGGACCCGTAGGCACCGAGCAACCGTCACCCCCTCACGACTTTTCCCGAGACGCTTCAGAGGAACCCTTCCCCCACATAGTACTCTCTGTGGGATTCGGCAGGCCCCCCCGTCCTACTGCACTAAGGAAGTTCCGAGACACACTTTTTTTTGTGGAAGACCACCCACCCTCCCTGTCCTGCCTGCTATCCCCGCCGCGACTCCTGGTCCCGGCCCTCCTCCCCGACTTCCTCCTTGTCCCGCTGCGAGTCCCGGACCTCCTCCCCCACTACCTACTCCCGCCGCGAGTCCCAGTCCCGGCCTTCCTCCTCCTCCTCCTCTTCCCTAGTCCCGGCGCGAGTCCCGGACCTCCTCCCCCACTTCCTAGTCCCGTCGCGAGTCCCGGACCTCCTCCCCCTCTTCCTAGTCCCGGCGCGAGTCCCGGACCTCCTCCTTCTCTTCCTTGTCCCGCCGCGAGTCCCAGTCCC